GCATGTGTTTCTAGTTGGATCTGATTCTAGTTTCACTGTTATTGTAAACCAATTACGAGATTTCATGACCAGTCGTTCACACCGTAACATTCTAAAATAGGAGTGTATAACATTTCTTAGGAAAGAATAGGTTTTTAACGAGGTCAAATATCGATCGAGGGTTATGAATTATTGACATCCTGTTCATATGAAAATAACTTTGATGGAGAGCCAAGCCACCCGATTACAACAATTTGTCCTCATCACTTCTTCAATCGTTTTTCTCTGTACAATCATTAGGTGTGATTGTTTTCCTCTGAGTTTTAACTACGACATGGTTATGAAACTGGAAACTGCCGTTGTCTCCAAAACGTATAGTTATTTTTTACAAAATACATGTGGATGTAGTTCCTGATTGGGTTGTGCAGCATAATAAATCCACTACTATCCGTAACACCACATACTATCAGAAGTTTACCACCACATACTATGTGTCAACCGCAGGAAAACCGCTTATCAATGAGCAATAAATCAGAATAGATGAAACTTTACTGGTTAATAATTGCCTCCACTTGGAATCCCTTTGCTAGCTCTAATAACTGCCTCTTCCTCAGTGGAAGTACTTACGAAAAGAGTTGGCAAACGTGTACTCATTTATAAATAACGATCTACCGCTTCGGCCAGCTGTCTGATATATGTCTCATAATCTGCCACGGTTTTCTCTACCGCATATCAGTAACTACTCTTTATTATGCCTATTATCATCCCCGTTTCTGTCCTTATTTTTTCTATCCGACGTTCTCAGAGTCGGCATTGTCAACCAAACTGTTTGTTTATTTCTTGAAACGGTTGTCTTACCTTAGCACCAGAGTCATCACTTTACAGGTGTTCATCCTGGAACTAATCAACCCCGTTCCTAGAAATGTGGGTGCTGCCAGTGTTCGAAAACCCTACTGCCCTGAGATAAATGTACTCGAATTTTGAGACATAAAAATCCATAAATAACTGCCAAACTGACTGGGGTAAGTGCAGTCAAGTGGTTAAACTAATACTTATTGGATATAACTAGGATTTGTAGTCGTACCGAAACAACAAGTAGTGAGCCAAAAGCAATCGATCGGTCTATGAGGGCTGCAATTAAACGCAACTCAATTTCGTAAATATGCCCTTCAGCTTAGCAATCAATCAGAATGGGCGCAAGAATTATTGTATCCGCCATCTTTGTAAGCGATGGCGGTCGGCTTTCTTCGTTCTGTGCTTCTTCCAGCTATTTCTTTTGTGTAGCTATGTAATTTAATGTTTCAGTGTGCTAAAATGCTGCAGTTAGTGTAATGTTCTATATGTTGGTGTGAAATTTACTTCGGATCAGCATTGTTTTTTTGGTTTTTGCTGCTTCTACTCAAGTCAATGTATTTCTTCAGCCAAGCTGGCTAGTCTTATGCTATAAAATGGTAATCGGTTTTGTATTGACTTGTTTCCTAGGTATCCAAAGCCGAAGTTCGTTTTTTAGCCCTAGCTGCCAGCTTTGGGGAGATTTTGGGGAAATCCCCAAAGTGAAATAGCCTTCCCCAAAGTTTGGGGAAATTTTAGGGAATTTTAGCTCGAGCTAAAATAATTGTTGCTGCCGCCTGTGACTAACTGTCCGCAAGTTCGTTCCTAACTGTCCTTTATGATGTTATCGGCAAAATGAAAGGAAACAATCTCCGGTTTTTAATTTTCTTCAGTATTATGGACAACACTATCCCGCCAACGAGTCAAACTAATACCGATTGCCCAGCAGTATGGGATATCAGTATTGTTTTCAAAAGGATCCAGACTTCCGTCAACCATAGACGAAGTCACGGTACTACCTGTATATTGCACAGGGTTTGTTATAAAAAATATGTCATATAGCAGTAGTATAGGGGTTGTACTCGTTACTTAGCGCGTTAAAGCAAGCTTAACATTGAAAAGCCGGAAATCTGTTATCAGTATGTAGTGTTTGTTTGCTGTTCTGGCCATAAAAGGAAGCTGAAGGGTCATGATCAGGGAGTAAAAAGGTAATTAACCGTTACTAAGCTAACTGTTTTATAGATCATATTTCACCACTCGCAAACCTGTTTTTTTTACGGTATGACGTCAGCCGGTACCTAATATGTTCACCCTTACGATGAAAGTACCTGCAAATTTTCACCTTCATATTCGAATTATTTTTGGACAACTGTCTTCCAGTTTGAATGCTTCGTACACCCTGGTTGACTAGATTCCTACATTATTCATAGTCCCAGTATAACTTTCTCACGCAGTAAGTTCAAGGTAGACACTAGTCTTTCTAAATAAGCCTGTTAAGCTAAAATCCGTATTCTCTATTTCAGTGATCAATGAAGTCATGTACCACGTGCATCTGCTGTATACTGCCATTTTACTCCAATTCTAACTGTTATATCTTCTGAAAAATAAAATTGCAATATGCAGTAAATACAGGCTTACTTGTTTTGATGGAGGTAGGAGGGTTCATGGGATTTTTAGCACGACTGTAGTAATATTCTCACTAAAGAGCTAAGTGAGTGCGTAGACCAATGTAAGGTACCATAGAGGGTGCCTTTGAGTTACTCGTGTTCCATTAGTGTTGTTAGAGGCATCACTTGCTTATCATATGACACTTGAATAAGAAGCTATAAGATTAGACGCAGGTACGGTTAGGATGTGTAACGCGTGTCCACCCATCAGCTGCCGTGGCAACTCGTGGTGGCTAGAATAAGTTGTGAAAGGACCCGAGTCTGTAGGTTACCCAAGAAAATGACGAAGATATGCACTAAATCACCTTATGAAGAGCGCCTCCAATCACTTAACCTCTACCCATTAGAGTATAAACATCTTAGAGGTGACCTACTTATGGCTTACAGTATCCTTAACACTTCTGTACATTCTCTTAAACACCTACTTCAGCTTAGTTCCAACACTAACCAAAGGGGTAACACCCAGAAACTAGAGACAGAACATAGCAGGACGGACTGTAGACGCAACTTCTACTCCTTAGGAGTTGTCAAATGCTGGAATTCGCTGCCCGTCGACCTAGTCCAAGCGACTTCCCAGGAGTCACTAGAGAGGCAACTGGATCTATTCTTAAAGATTAAGGATAGTATCATACTATGATTTACCAATTTCTCTTTCCTCTTTTATTGTTAACATACCTAGGTTCCTGCTTGAAGGTTTTGGTGATCCCCTGCTACTAGACACGGAAGCCTGTTAAGCGAAAGCTCCTATTCAGTCCACAACCACTTGAACGCATGAACTAGGTGCTGAGAGGCCCGCTTATCACAAGTTTCTTGCAGCGATTAAGTAGATAAAACAAAGTAGCATTAGATTCAAAAATTTATTCAAGAACTTTTATTAAGAATCGAATATCAAACAAAGGTGTAAACTAAGTTCCCGTTTAAAAGTTGTATTGGTAATGTTGAGCCGCAGTTTTTGTTGTTTTTTTCTCCAAACGAAAGAGTTAAAGGAGTCAAAAAATACTGGAAGTGGTTGTGAGACTAAAATGGACGTCTAGCATCCTTTTTATAATCTGCTGTTCGTTAGGTCTCCCGTAAACAGTTCCATAGGGCCATAGTTCCAAGGGCGAAACAGTTTTTAGGATCTGTGAAGACTCACTCCTGTTTCATTCTAGATGAAAAAATAGTGATGAATTTAGTCAGAAATGTGGAATAGATAAATAACCAAATTATATGTTTTTTAGCAAAGAATTTATGCAGTTGTGATTTATCTTGAGTTCGTGAATATTAGATAAGGTCAGCTACTATTACTTGTGCAACGTATAACATGGGCTTAGTACCGTATTGCAATGTTTTTATTATTTTGCTCTCATTTAAGTATTCCCTTGCATCTGCGTCTAGTTTAACAGGAAGACATACAAGCAGAGTTAGTGTCTGATAAACTAAAAGTTCCCGTTGTCAAAAAGATTCTTAACATTTGTCCACAGCCAGCTGCATTTACTTGAGACACAGAACACTCATCTTCTAAGACTGTATACTGCTGTTTTGCGGGTGACTAAAAGCTCAGACGCTTAGCTATCTTGCTACCGATGTTATTGCTGGGGAAACTGTTTAATGACAGTGATCATGAAATATAGTCAGTGATAGATGTACAGTCTAAAAATAAACAACAAACATACTTATAGCTACTTACAGCAACAGCATCAAAGGCACGTTTTTTATTTTTAATCAGACTGATCTGAATCAGTATACTCATTAGAAATAGGCAACTCTACTTACTAAACTGATCTTTTTCGTTGCAGGCTTCAAGCACTATATTTAAGTACACCATAATTCTTTTAACTAAACTGAATTATACGACAACCAAGAATACTAAACTAAGCAAGTGTCATAGTCATTGTTTCATTTGCACAGACATGTTGCTCGAAGTAGTTAAATGGACATAATTAAACCGATAAAACCAAAACACGAAATATAGGCCAGTTGAACTTATCTGACAGAAGACAAAGGATATATATTGCTTTACGACTGAAGATAATAGTCACTTGTTCATAGTAACATAGTTTACAGTACAACAAACCTTTCTTCAGTAACAATATGCACTGACGGTCTGTCTGGAAACAGTCAAATATGTGATTAAACTCACTATGACTAGGGATAATATCTCAGCGTGCAGTGAACGTACAGTGTAACGCAGTCAGACGTGGCGTATAAAAATTAAAAGAGCAAAATTAACTACATAATCTAGTTATTTAATTAAAAATACATTATGAAATGACAAAATATGTGGTTGCTTGAACGCACAGATGACCCTGTGCGATACATCAAGTTACATGGTTGCGTTGCGGATAAATTCACACGTCTATGAGAGCTCGTGTCTAATATTGAATACCGGATCGTGAGATGCCGGATTTTTTGCTAAACAACGAACAGATATTTTACTTCAGATTCTAAATTTGAAGCAAAATATTATTCAATCCTAACATTTCTACAAAATATGTGTAACTGAAAGTATTTGTTTCAGTGATCTGCAGTCTGATTGGCAATCTCAAGGTCTCTCATTCTCATTCTGGTATACCATTCAAATCTGACGACTAACTATCGTCTTTGGGTCTGTGAGTTTTAGAGTACATATTCACTATGAAGTCATTGGAAAGCCAATATTTGAAAGTTCTTATAAATTTCAGACATTCTCACAACTGACGTGACAATTGTCACATAATTGTAGGTTACTAAAGCAGAAAGATAATTGGGACAGGTTTATGCTGATGCTTAAAAACACCATGTGATTTCGACAATTATCCCGTGTTACTAATTACGTAAATAGGATAAAAATCACTGGATGACTAAAATCTCATGTTTTGTTTTCGATTTCCATTAAGCTTTACCGTGTCAAAAGAGACTAATCGCTCAACGGTCATGAATGCGAAGCATTTCTAAAAGGCTACATAAGCAAAAAACTATGGTGAAATATGAGCAAACCGGAGAAGAATGTAGGGGAAAGACTATCATATTTTAACTAAGCTTAAGGTTCTCAGGACTGGAGTATAAGTTGGATGTTATACCCAATAAAAAGTTATAATAAAGGATGGTTACAAAGAATGGTATGGGGAAACAGAATTTCTACTTCATATATATATATATATATATACATTTGTAGTAATTACCACGCCCTCTTAAGAGGGCGTACTAATTTGTTGAATTTTTTATTCACTATTCTCATTAAGTGTTTTGGTTGGACTGTCGTGTATGGACGACCTTTAAGTGGCTCTGAAGTGACCTTGAGGTAACTCACTGACTTACTAGGGTGCAAAGCGGTTTATAAATTAATGTTAGGAATAGGAATGTAAAGACTAAGAATTGGAGTTAGGATTTAAGGTTATGAATTAATATGATGGTTTTCATCACTTACTAACATCAATTATAATGCCAAAATGTTGTTCAATCGTATGAATGGATGAGTTTTGCGCCAAAATTCAAAACTTGGCATCTTTAATTTCATTTGTACGTCCATAGAGTATGGGATTCACAGTGGACTCTTCAAATGTTCAGGTATCTATGTACAATTTAACAGATGAACTGTCACGGTTATCAAATCCCCAAAATAAATAGTTTTGTAAGTCTTCAACACTGATTTCATTAGCTTTACTGGACACACCTAGCTGAAGGCACTCGGTCACTTATCCGCACCAGATTACGAATGGGTACGCCATGCTACGCGTCCCTTGAAACTATTATCCAGCCTAGGCTAGACGCTTCTCAATGTTGATGGTCTTCCTAATATATCTTCGAACCTCTTCATTTCTGACTTCTGACTGGGTAGGTATACTTTGATTATGAAGGTGTTACGTGTAAAGCCGTTGTCAAACACCAAATACCTGTGGCATATTTAGGTTTCATTATTCGTCTATTTAGCTAAAGCCCGAATTCTGAAGGGAAATAAACAGCTGGTAACACTAGCTTCTCTGCCTGTTTATTCAATAATATGTAGTTATCTACATAAGCTCGTCCTTATTAGCTTCCTTTTATCAATTAGCCTAGCTATATTAAATATTCTCTCCATATCCTACCAGTCATTTGTGTATAACTAACTTGGGAATGGATTTCCCGAAGTTCCAATGACAATCTGATGTTTATAGTCAATTAACTCAAGAGTAAACAGTAACTTATTCAGAACATTATGTGATAACCACTCTGTGACTCAAATCAACCACATTTGTAGAGTTAACTATGGTATTGTTGCAAAACCTGGAAGTTAAATGTACAACCTCATGTGGTCGCATAGGTCCATTAACGAAGGGTCTCAAATTAGGGTAATAGCTACCCAGTGCTGTCTGATTTATATTTGTATTTTAGCTGTTACCATTCCGTGATACAAAGCATTCTCAAGCTACATAAATGTCTCAGATATCTATCGGATATAGATGATCTTGTTCTGACAACTTTTTCCGAAAAAATTTTCTGACCACATATTAGTTTCAAAGGTAACGAGTTTCTACCAGAAAACTGTTGTCTGAAAGCAAGTAACCACTTCTATACACATTTACTACTTTTTATGGAACATAAAGGTTTCTAAAAATAGCTATTTCACTGCTTTGTTTTACTTTAGGTTTTCTTAAAAATTCGTCTACACTACAATTTTATCATCATTTCTCTGAGTAAGTTTATTGAATGATTGTCATAGCAATGGTTGTTTTAAGATCAACTAGTTTCATTTGATTATCCGGTCCACATATAGGTACATTCAACTATTGATTAACTTCAATGCCGTATGTACGTTACTATTTCGTGGTTCATTAGTTTCTTAGCTGTTTTACGGATTCATTCCCGTGTTTAACCATAAAACACTCATTATGATAAACTCTGTCGTGTTTTAATTACCACTCTGGACCTAATAAGAGGATTACATAAATCATGTAGGTAACTTTTTTGGCGTATAAACTTATTGTCAATCGTGAACATATCTAGGAATCCAAAGTAACTATTACTTCTTTCTCATAATTTCTATTGTCCGAAATTTTCGTCCTCCGGTTTTGCTACACGAAGATCTCAAGAGTTGGGTTATTCACTGCTGCATTTAAACCGCTTCACACCTGAAGATCCTCCCTTAAAACCACAGTCCTGTATTATAGTCGTTATACAGTTAATATATCTGACAATAAATTTTATCATTGGGTGGCTCAAAAATGTATTTTACTGCAATGTGAATTAAATAAGACGAAAGGTTTATACGTATGCTACCATGTATACTGTATACTGGCACTTTTCAAGATAAAGTTTTTGATATCGTATTTTCTATTTCAATCACTAAAGGTTTATTTCTGAAATTTTAGGTACAGGTAAACAGCCAATTTTTATGTATTTTAAAGTACAAACGAGTGACTATGTTTCGTGGTTTTGAATGTCTATGATTGCTAGATAGGAATTTTAGTATCTAGTCACTCCTTATAGATGGTGGTGTCACACTGATTCCCTGTCTTCTCGCCTGGAATGAAAAAGACCCTATCTATGGGGTGGATTAGTGATACTAGCTCTCCTCTTTTATGCATCGTTAAAATGCGTGCTCCGTAGGGTTTACTTGTTCCATATATACGAGGTTAATATCTGTTAACTATTGTGTTATAACATCGTTAGAAACATGTTATCACTACTTACCCTTTACTCAACAATGCACACTAAATTGAAATATGTTGCAGTATTTCGCAAACCTCTTACCTTATACCTATATCCCCATTCAACAGTTTATTCGTGGTGATTATACCTATAATTATATGATAATATTAAATATTTCGTTACGATCCTTGTGAAGTGATAATAACTTTTACTGGTCAGTTAACTAATGGCTAAAATAACAATTGTTTTGATTCACTGTACATTATCTGTATGAATTTTTAACTTTGACTCAGTTAGGCAGTCCAGTTCGCTGCTTCATGATCACAAAGCTAACTGTGCATTGGCTGTTGGGACCAACCTAACTAAGTATTTTAGCTGTTCAAACGTCATGGTTTGCTCACAGTTTCAAGGCAGTGATTACCATCATCTCAAAACGTCATGGGTAACTAGTTCAGGTGTATTTATGTTCTTCAAACTACTACTCAGTGATTTTAAGTGTTTCGGACACAACTGATCCAAACTCATAATCGTATAAACAGAATCTATTGCCCTAATTGAACACTATTCGGCTGTTTTCTCCGGTCAGCTGCACTGAGTACCACCGGTACAATAATAATCAAATATTTAGAGACTTTTGTTGTCAATTTTCAACAATTGTATTCCAATCGTATGCGGAAACTATGTACATAGTTTCACTATATATCGGTTTATTATTGGGTTATTAGCTGAAAATTATCGCTGGCTAGATAAACCTAGATAAATGATCGGATCTGGGTTTCGCGCCTTACAAATACAACCGGAATGCCTATATGGAAAGACGTGTTATTATAATAGGTGAATTTAAGAAGTAGTGCTATCAAGCCATGGATACGTCTGTGAGTCTGACCTATTTGGCAGGATATTAGTTTCAAAACGACATTTGTGTACCACCAAAGTCCGATAACTGAACTTTGTCACTAAGATACAATATTACATTAGCCATTAAGTCGCTTAGTTACCGTTTACTACCAACCGTCCAAGGTTCATAAACAAGAGTTTAAGTCCTTGTTTTTCCGTCAATTCTAACGTTTGTCACATCACATCATTTGGTATGTTTCTATCCACTATGTTGAACGTAACTGGAAATTCTGTTAGTTTACTTATACAGTCTAGGATAGTCTGAAAGAATGAGCTTTATAAATAGCGTTTTCTTGTATCGTTCTCATCCCATTCACTGATAAAAGAAAAGGACTTATTGACACTACTCTTACTATGTTCACCCAAATTATCTGTTATTTATAGTAGTCGAATGCTGTATTGCTAGCGTCGCCAGTAGTATGTAATTTTCAACTATGGTTTGGTTATAGGTCTGAATGTTATACACTGTGTTCTGCCTTTTGATGATAAAATTTCTTATGATCGAATAAATATAACATAGGGGTAGTGTTTGTGTTGGCTTATTAAGTTGCTAGTTAATCATATAAACATCCGAAACAATTTCCTTCCCTTATGTAAATTTCTTTTTATGAACTTCTTTGTATATTGCCGTCTATAGTGACAACTTAGTTCGATAAAAGTTTACAGCGTTTAGCTAATCAGGTATTTGATGGGTATTTACCTATCTTTCTAAAGCTGTTTTTTACAAGTTTTTGCTAGGATGTTTTCGAAACTGATATCCTCATTTCTTCACTTAAGTAATAAATCTAGACACTAAAATCACAACCAGTTGGTCTAAGGTACAACCTTTTCCCGATTTCCGAAATTCTGGTAACAGTTAAGGTTTCAGTAATACAATTTAAACACCTCATAGCCTAGTACACATATTCTTCCAGGACTGATGATGCCTAAATATTACTACTTTTCGAGGTTCTGAATAAACAATATTAACTCTTTTAGTGATATGAGGATTACGTTTGTTACTCGTTATCAGCGAGCAATAAATAAATATACGTTAGCCTAATTTGTTATGTTACATTGGGAAATCAAGGTAAAGATAACTACTGCCTTTTTGTTTGTTAGTTCAGTAAGTAACTTGTTGAAATACCCTGTGCTGAGAATTCTATATTGTACCAAAGTATAATATTGAATAAAGCCATTAATAATAATAATAATGGCATTAACGATCTAAATAATTTAGTATTATCCAGTTTTGAAATTCCCTTAGTTCGTTGTAACTTTCAGCTTATTATAGGTGTCATTACCAAGGTTTGATTTGATAATTTCGAATAAATTGAGCATTGGGTTGATTGTTATAAATAAAAATAACATATTTGTAATATCCCAATGAGTAGAAACGTCAGAAAATCCAATTTTCTACTCATTGGGATATTACAAATACATTATTTTTATTTCAGCTTATTAGTTCGAATATCTTTTACAGATGGGGATTGGATCCCCATCAACAGTCGGTTATGTGCTATTAGATTAGAAAGTTTCATCAAAGTGAGAAGAAATCGGCGTGAGAAACGATGTCTTTTCGTCATCTCCGCCTATGCCCCGACAGATTGCAGCCCGGATGCAATCAAGGATGAGTTTTACCACCAGTTATCTGTTCTTCTCCAGAAAGTGCGTTCGACAGATATTGTAGTACTAGCCGGAGACTTGAATGCTCAGGTCGGGCGTCTAGGCACAGAAGAGAGTCGTTTAGGTGGCCGATGGGGACTCGTTGGTCGCAGGTCAGATAACGGGGACCGTCTACTGCAACTTGCACAGACCACAACCTGTTTCTGGCTAGCACTAACTTTCGGCACAGTCATCGCCGATGTGCCACCTGGCGTCCTCCCTCTGCATCTCAAGCCTGGACTCAGATTGATCACATCGCGATCAGCTACCGCTGGCGTGGTTGTGTACAAGACTGCCGCTCCTTTTGGAGTACCTATCTGGACTCTGACCATGCCTTGGTCTGCGCCAATCTTACCTTACTTTTCAGTGGACAACGAAGTGACGCCATCAGCAAGTTGGTTGCAACTTCTGTTGCAAGTAAGTATCGAACCGAGCTAGCCTCTAGGCTAGCTACCACTCCACCGAAAAGTATAGATGAGCATTGGTTGCAATTGCATGACGCCATGAAAATGGCGGGAACAGTCAGTTGTGGGTTTGCGAAACGTCCCGCTTTAAGCACTGGGTTTCTTCTGGTTCCTTACAACTCATTGAAGCCCGTCGGTCTACTCCGGGTGACCGTGAGTTTGACCATAAACGAAGGATGTTACGTAAGGAAATTGGGCAAAGCTTGCGTAAGGACCGAGAAGCCTGGTGGTCGAGCGTGCTAATGAGCTGGAAGCAGCAGCTGCATCTGGTAACTACCGGAAGCTCTTCCAACTCATCCGAGCCACTGGCAGCAAGAAGTCTGGTGTGAGTGAAACAATCTGCGAGGATGATGGGATGCCAATCACTAACATCCATCGACGTCTTGGACGATGGGCAGAATTTTTCGAAGGGCAGTTCAACTGGCCTGCTGCTCCGGCAACATCGGTCAGACTGTCCTGCCCTCCATGGCCGGTGACGACTGATCCACCAAATGAGGAGGAAGTCCGCAAGGAACTCCAACTCTTGAAGCGTTACAAATCACCTGGCCCAGATGACTTACCTCCGGCTCTTTTTAAAGATGGTGGTGACTTTTTGACTAAGGAATTGACGACGTTGTTTACAAAGGTTTGGGAACTAGAGAGTGTACCAACGTCATGGAATGAGTCGATAGTTGTCCCTATCTTTAAAAAGGGTTCACGTCGTTCCTGTAACAACTATCGGGGGATAAGTCTACTTCCGATTGCGTCCAAGCTATTGGCTTCCGTCATACTTCGTAGGTTGTTCAAAACCCGAGAAAGATTGACTCGCGAGGAGCAGGCTGGGTTTCGTTCTGGTCGAGGATGTATTGATCATATCTTCACCCTCCGCCAAATGTTAGAACACCGCCATACTTATCAAAGGCCAACAATCGTAGTGTTTCTTGACATCAGGGCTGCCTTCGATTCGTTGGACAGGACTGTTCTCTGGGATTGTCTATTGAAGAAGGGTGTGCCTGAGAAGTTTATTAACATCCTAAAAGCCCTATATAAAACACCTCAGGCAGAGTGAGGGCATACAACCACCTCTCTCCATTGTTCCATTCGAGCAGTGGGGTTAGGCAGGGTTGCCCAATCTCACCATTCCTCTTCAACTTTGCCATCGATGACATTCTGGAAACAGCTCTGATGAATGTAAGTAATGGTGGTGTGGATCTGTTGCCTGGAGAAAGACTTCTCGACCTTGAGTATGCGGACGATATTGTCTTACTGTGCGATAATGCCCAAGGCATGCAATCCGCACTTAATCAGTTGGCAATCAGTGTCCGTAGGTATGGTATGTGCTTTGCACCTTCGAAGTGCAAAGTACTTCTACAAGACTGGCAGGATTCTAATCCTGTACTCGCCCTGTATGGTGAGCAGATAGACGTAGTCGATGAGTTTGTGTATTTGGGTAGCTGCATAAGTGCTGGTGATGGCGCGAGTGATGAGATCAATGCACGTATAGTGAAAGCCAGAGCGGCTTATGCCAATCTGGGCCTCCTTTGGCGCCTTCGTGATGTTAGTCTGGCTGTAAAAGGTCGGATCTACAACGCGTCGGTGAGAGCAGTTTTGCTCTATGCTTGTGAAACCTGGCCTCTCCGAGTTGAGGACGTTAGACGACTCTCTGTGTTCGATCATCGTTGTCTCCGAAGGATTGCTGACATCCAGTGGCAACACCATGTTAGTAATGCAGAGGTTCGGCATCGTGTGTTCGGGCACAGAGACGATAATTCAATTCTTGTCACCATCTTGAAACACCGACTTCGGTGGCTTGGACGTGTTCTACGAATGTCGTCCCAGAGAATTCCACGTCGTGCATTATTTGCCGACTTTGGGACTGGTTGGAAGAAGCGGAGAGGTGGTCAGTGCATGACATGGTGTCGTGGTATGAAAGAAAGCTGCAAAGGGCTGGCTTCTGTCGGTCCTTCACGACTCCCTGGCTGGGGTCTGAGAGATGATGGAACACAGTGGCTAGAGACGTTATCAGATATGGCTCAGAATAGAAGTCAGTCGCGATCCTGCTGTAACCTTCTTTTACTTTCTTCATAAAACGTAGTTGTATCCTTCCTAACTGAAAGATTTCTATTGGCTCTACCTTTCCGCCTCCCCATTATTTGTTTTATTTATTATTATTATTATTATTATTATTATTATTATTATTATTATTATTATCAATACACTTCCTTACACTAATCTGGTCGTTATTGTTCCTCTTCTTCTTTTTCTTTTACACTCCTTGCCTTTTTTTCTCCCCATTCTCATTGTTTTGTGTGGCGCATATATATTTGGTGCCCCCTTGTCCAATATTTATGTGTTCAAATAAATAAATAATTAAATAATAATCTTTTACAGAGATTAACGCTTTCTCAAAATTATATTTCGTAATAATAAAGATAAGTTACTTTTCTATGTGTTCCAAAGGTTGAAAATGATTGATGGTGATTTCATTCCTGAATATAAACCAACCGATATCGCCATTAAGTTATCTAATGAATTTCATCACACTTTTGGTACAGAATGCAGTTTTGTAGTTCGAGCTCCTGGTCGAGTAAATCTTATTGGTAAGTTAACAATTTGCATTTTAGACATATTTATGTACATTTAGAAGGAGGTATAGAATGCTCACTTCAACCACTTAGTTATCTTGGATGAAGAGTTAACTATATACTATGATAACAATCCATTAGCATTTATTGTAAAGAGGTTTGGATTCTTCCAACTATTTTTGTTTAGCGTTATTCTTCATAAATATTGGTTTAGAGATGATACGCTATTTGAAATCTGAAAATAATAGTTAGGATTTTAGAAACATACAGTAGTACAGGAAATAGTTGAATAAACATCATAATCCAAGCGTTTCAGCAAAGCAGAATTTGAAGAAAAAAGCGTGTATACATAATAGAAAATAATAACTTGTAGAGCCCTTCTCTAGTAAGGCTCATTGGTGAACATCAGTTATTTGACTTTAATTAAGCGTTCGTTAGGTATTCTTAAGATATAAACGGCTTAGTTAGGTCAGCAGACTTTCAAATATTCGAATTTGATTCATTTCTTTGTCTACATTATATTTTATGGTCTCATGTCTGGTTTTAGCAACATATGATTTTAAACAATACTTTCTTGCTAATCAGCAACTTCCGATTTCAGTCTAGCAACTTTATGGTCTTGGTTTTTTCGCAAATAAGCTGCACATATCAATTGTATTCGAACACTTTTAAAGTAACTTTTGTAGTTTTAGGAAATTATAAATAAACATAGTGCAACCAGATATCATTGTCTCACTAACTAGTATTACGGGAGAAGGTTTTTTACTCAAATTGTTTGTCCCGTTATAAGGCGTAATTTTTGTAAAATAATGTTGAACTTGTCCGAAATTTCGAACGTCATTTTCTCCTGTGGTTTTATTTGACAATTGTTAGGATCATCTGTGAAAGTTCTTTATTTACACCTACCACTAGTTGCCTGACCTATAATGTTATTTAGTTTGTTAAAGCCTATATGAATGAACTCCAGCTCCCGATCGTTACATCTGTGAATATTACATACCTTTCGTTTTTAACTGGATCTCACTGTTAAACGTATGTGAAGTTTTTCCGCTTACGATGGAAAACTTTGAGAAATATATTAGGTAATACTAGTGATCGCAGTTTTGATAAGCTTGCAACAAATCTTACTATTTGTAGTTATGTAGTTATTGGTATCGATGACTTGTTTCAGGTACTTTTCTTTAATGTATGAAAAACCATCTATTATGATGAAAGTTCATAAATTATGTCCTGTGGTATTGAAGATTTAATGTGTTACTGATATTCGTCTTATTTTCCTTTCCTAATGTGACACTTATCTTAAAAATCACTTGGAATAAATAAGTCAGAAGAGGATGAGTCTATTTGTTAATGTTACGTGATTGAAGTTTTAAGATTTAACTGCATTTGCTAACATCGAGTGACAATACAGAATGTGCATTGTTAGATTAACAATAAATTGAAAGTATTATTTACTTATTTTGTGTTTGTGGCCTTTAATATCAGACTTTCTTTTTTTTACGTTCAAATGACTGAAAATTATTTGGTTAGCTGTAGAAGTTGAGTTGATTTAAAATATTGAAATAAATAAATAAAAGTGATAAAGAAATTAAAACAAGCTTAAAGTTGATCAAAAAGAATTTTTATTCTGTGTGCAATTTGTTAATGATCAGTACTCTTCAAATATCCACAAAATTGTCTTTTTTATATAACTAGAGTAGAAGATGAGTCTTAATTATGTGCCTCTTAATTGTATTGTAGTGAACAAGAACACGGGTGGGGACAATCGGATATATTTAACACAGAATTACAGAGCATCTCAATAAAATCTGAGAACCATATATCAAATCGTTAACTTGCAAAATGTCCACCAATTGTTTCAAAATACCTCAGACTTCATTGTCCTTGCATTTTCATACAGATTGCATTCTATTCCGGCTCTTGCTTTCTCGATCTTCTCCCATCTTCTGCTGCCAGACATTACATTCCTGACTCGCGTCATATACTACTTATATCAATATAAGCAGCACGCACCACAATATACCTCTCACCATCACAGTGAAAAACTTATTGTTATTTTTTGTAATAATTGTAAGTTCACTGGGTTTGAAGCATGGAAGACAGATGTTTTTCCCTTAAAGTTTACGTAGTAACCGAGTTCTTTCCTAGATTCATTTTTAATTTAATTTCGTAGTTCTTGACTTCATTTTATACTGAATCCATTCATTTTCATTTCTACGTCTCAAATACATATATTGTGATCGTGGGTTACACTTGATATCTATCATTGGCTGGTCACAATGAAATCTGACTTCGATTTTCTAAAACATTATAAAAAGAAATCAACTCTGAATGATTATGGTGACTATTTTCTTTAGTAAACAAGTAAATTTCCGATTACTAATGCTATCGATCATTAATTATGTTTTTAGACATTTTGTAATACGTTTGCTCTATGCCTTTGTTTTTGTTTCTTTTAATAACCAGGTGAACATATTGATTATAATGGTTATCCTGTACTACCGATGGCGTTAGAACAAGCAGTTTATATGTCTGTAGGTCCAACATCTGGATCTGATTTGGATAAGATCGTTCTTATAAGCACAGATACTCAATACAGGTAGTTTTGGTCATCATTTTAATTCTGCTTCTGTGCTGCTCTGTGGTATTAGAAAATTAAGAAGGACCTGACATACATGAAATTGATCACCACCCAGTGATCAATCAATTGTAAATACATCTCAGTCCTACAGGAAGTCAGTCACGGCCCGGATAGCTCAGTGGTAACGTCTGTGACAGTGAATATGGGTGACACGGGATCAAATTCGTCTGTGAGCATCGTTTACCTTAGGATTACAGAAACACCTTGGTGATGAGTGCCAATTAGCACGAAACCTAGGTCCAGGGTTTCCTGTTGACTACCTCCAACCACCATCAACACTAAATGTCGAGTAACCTAGATAGGTGGCCACATTGCAACTTGGTCGATAGGATTCGATCTGCACTAGGAAGGACCTGACATAGATGACATTGGTCATCAGTGATCAATCAATTGTAAAGAAAATTAAGTGTTGAAGTTTACATGTTGTTTTGGTTTACTAGAAAGAAATCTATTTACTCTGAGCTTGAGATTTATCGTTTTAGATGGTTAGACCATTTATTGTACACAGCGATTAATCGTTAAACTTTCGTTTTATATATATATATATATATATATATATATATATATATATATATATATATATATATATATATATATATATATATATAGTCAGTTTTCGAAATTATGCCTTAAAATGTTTTATTTTGGATTTCAACTACTAAGAGATTATAAGTAGCATATGTAGTGTATAAAATTATTTAATATCATTGTGATGGGTGTTTGAGTGCATTATGTGAAGTGTGTTTTGATATTGTTATTATGATGGATAAAATCATTTCAATACATGATAAACAATCATAAAATCGTGTTTGTGAGACCGAATAATCAACAAGATACCTCTAACAAATTGATATTTTAAACGAAAGAGCTATCCAACAGAATGTTTTTGTTCTTTAGCGAAACATAATATCTTTATGTACAAAATATTAGGCGTGTAAAAAGAAATCGGCGGATGTCGTAATGGATTGAAGGATATATTTATATTTTAGGCCTTCGTGTTTATCAAACAACCCTTGTCTCTAGTTACTCCTAATATTCAGTAATTTTTGCTCATTTTTTGTTGTTATGGCTTGTCAATTATTATGTTATATCATCGCCAATAAAAACACTGACTTATTGACCTAACCGATGACACATAAACCTGCTAGGTTTGAAGCTATTACGAGTTCACTTAATATGCGAACGGAACAAAGACTTGTGACCGTAGACCAATAAGCTAGCTATTTGATGCTTCCCAGCCCCACTAACTAGAGGAAGAAGTCCAAGCTTGGAACGGGTAAGTATATTCCGTAAGCCAGAAGCACGAGTGAATAATAACAGACACAAATCAAACGTATATATACAGCATAAAACTGTCCTTGGAAAGCGTAGCAAAAATAGCGTACTAAAAATACACAACTGACCAATAGCGTTAAAGATTCTCCCAAGTGGGAAATACGACATGAAAGTGAAAAGTGCGCTTTTGGCGCGAAAACAAGAAAATTTAAATTCCCAACATAAAATTATAAAATTAAGGTATTTACCAAATGAGGTCTGAGGATCTAACATCCCCAAAAACACCAGTACGGACAACCTAGGGTCAGCTGTGAGTTCGTATTGGACTTCCGAGATATTAGCTTCTCTCCAGACGGTTCAGTTCAGAACACCAATATCAGCCTCCGCCACATGAATCATGCATTTCAGAGACACGCAGTTTATTTACAAGCAAATCGGACCGGAGTTTATTATAAAATAGAAAATAACAATTATACAAGAGCAGGTCCAAAGTAGCTGTGAGTGTGAGATACTGTAACTAATCTTGATGGAGTTTTGTTCTCTGAGATGGACGGCTTCCGATATACTTGAGTCTTCAATTTTCTTGTGTTGGTGCTGGTGATTAATACCTCCTGTTCCTGGTACAGGAGTCAAAAAGAAACTACCATTGTTGGATATACTCATCACAGGAAAACTGTAGACTCAAGTATATCGGAAGCCGACCCACACAGATCAAATTTTCAGTTACAGTAACAACGGCCGTAGAGCCCACAAGATCAACTGCGTACAAACTTTGTTCAAGAGGGCGAGGACACACTGCAACACACTTGCAGCGCAGAAAAATGGAATTAATATCTAAATGCAATCTCCCAATAAAACGACTATTCAATCAACTTCATCAAAAAATGCCAACAAAACGCATCAGTAGAAACAAAATCAAGTATAGAAATCAACAAATGGATCATCCTACCATATGTAAAAGGCATATCAGGAATTGTAGCGACATTGTTGGAGCCTTTTGGAATAGGTGTGGCACACAAACCAACAAAATCACTTCACTCAATCCTACACAAATCAAAGGACGAAAGGACAAAAGAAGAAAAACCGAACATCATCTGCAAAATAAATTGTTTTAACTGTGAAAGACACTAAATCGGACAAAGCGGATGTCACCTTCATCTTTGCCTGCATGAACATCAATTAGCGGTCAAACGCCATGACATATCCTCGCTTATATCAATGCTTTTGGACAACTGTGGACGCACATTCGACTGGGAAAATGCTGAAATCTTGCATAGAGGCAATTCTAAAAACACTAGAGAATTTTAGAAGCTTGGCACTCAGGTTAATCAGCAATCAACAAACACATTGAAATCCATCCAATTTATCAATCAATCAAAAAATTATGGACAAATATAGGACCAGAACCAACACAAGAAAACTGGAGACTCAAGTATATTGGAATAAAATCAGTGGCCGAAATAATCAAAATAAAGAGGTAAACAATGAAAGGTTAAGGGTGAACAATAACCAATCAAGACCGAGGTCTACAGGACAAGCCGTGAGCCATATATGGATAAATTCGAACACTTCACTTCTACCTGAATTTTATGCTGCTGATGATGTTCAGAATAACGATGAAAGCTCCACGACCAAACCATCCAGCTCAGAGAAGATTACTCCATCAAAATCATCTACCTGAGCTTCAAATGTTCACTGTAATAATAAACTGGGAACAATCTAATAATAGTAAATCGTATAATAATAGTGAAATGGATGCTTAGAATAAAAGGAATATAAATATACATAAAACATAGTTACTCATTAGTTAAACAGTAATAATAATATCATGTAATAACAGTCCATAAATAGATCCTAGCGTTTACTATTCACTTATTCTTCGTCTGAATATAACAATTCCCATTTGTTTTAACTTGTTCCTTACAGTTTTTCCATTTCGCCTTATGGCTCTTGTTTTCATTATGTCTTCAGTATGTTGATTTTCACTGAGTTTGTACGCATGAAATGCATATATTTGGATCGATCCATTATTCTCTTGGGTTGAGCGCTTATTTACTTGTCTGTTTGCCAACCAAAACTATGTTTGGGATTATACTACAGTGAAGTATCTACACCGTTTATAAACTCCCATTTCTTCACAAGCTCACTGTTATATATATATGCACACTAAAGACTAATAGTGTTTATGTGAAAACACGTGAACAAATTATTTCACAGACTAAGTTTAAAATTACGGTGTTTTCACACAGTTCTAACTAACATTTACAGTTAAAATATTCTATTCCTCAATCCTTGTACCCAATATAGGCCTATTAAAATTCCGATTACAGAAGCCATAACATTTGGTTGTGAAGGTTCGCCTGACTCGCCTGAGTGGTTTCATTATTTTCAGTGCGCGTATCGAGGAATAAAAGACTATGTAGACAAGTTGAATTTGGTACGTTCATATATCCGTTTGTCTTTTTCTAATGACAGCACATCTCTTGTCAGCTTTGTTTCAACATTTTAGGTCATCATTATCCATAACAAAATTATGTAGGCCTCTAAAAGCCAAACCTATTGTGTAAGGGCTTGTGGTAATACTTCGCTGCTCAATTATATAGTATGGGTGTAAACTGATCATCTGATAAGAAATTCAATAACAGTGGTCGTAGTAGAAATTCCAATCATATCCTTACAGATGTTAATGTAATTAATTGTTCTAAGTTAGTACATCAGATCGGCAGACTAACTTTTATAGTTTTAGACACGGAGGTTATGATAATATTTGAATTCTACTGCCACTTTAAATGTTCTTAAAAACTAAATTTTCTCTTAATTCCACTCACCTACTTTTTATTCACACAAAGGACATTCTGTTTTGGCATTATATTAACCTATTTCCGTTCACTTTTGTCGACTACTAATGTTGGCTGTACGTGTAACTGCTTCACTATCCTCTGCGTTAAATCATCACATTTAGAAAAGCTCTTTTGTTCTTGCTGTGCATGGTGAGTTTGTAACATTTAGACCAAGGAAGCACTTGATTCAATACAACATGAAGGCCGCCTAATTTCAAGTATTTTTTCACACATTCTTTATAACGTGCTTATTTTAAACCATGTGGTTTTTCCGAGGTCTGATTAGTATCATTTTTCTAGATTAATATAATCTAATCTAATGTAAGGTAAAAGTAACAAAATACTGAACTGTTAATCAGTCAACTTCGGTGGAAGTGAAGAGAATACTATTGCCTAAATGGTTAGAGTGTAGTTATGACAACATGATAGTTTTGTCGAAAGTTTAAACAAAGTGAGTTATTGACAACACGTTTATGCGGTTTTTATGCATCAGCTATTGTGCTGTCTGGTTAATTAGTGAGTTCTTATCATAGTTTTCGTTGATTTACTCTTACACACTGGATACATTTTTGAATTTTGAATTGAAAATTTTATTCATTGTTTATTTTTTAATAGGATTGGACTCCTCCTAGTCTAAATGTACTAGTTGGTGATGTTGAATATGGTGGTTTATGGCCAGCTGCTGGTCTTTCAAGCAGTAGCGCTTTCGTAGTTGCTTCTGCCATAGCAATTATGCGAATATCTGGTTTACAAATAAGTAAAGTAAGTGGAAAGTAGAAAAGTTGTAAATAAAGAGAACAAAGTATTCTTTTGTGCTTCCATCTTAAATATTATGTCTACGATTATTTTCCTTTTTCCCTAAAACAACTAGAATTTACTGCTTTCTACATATGTAATGGTAGCGATAACAATAGGTTTGTTCGATATAATAAAACTCTGTCTGTAGCCTTTCTGTGGTTACTCCCGGTCCCAAGCCTGGATAAAGGAGGAAGGTTGAGCATGGGATCGGCAACCACATCCTGTTGAAAAACACCTTGCTAAAAATGCTCAAACCAGAAAAAATTGAAACCATTTAAGTTCTGCCATGGGAGTTGAACAATTATGAAGCCTCATGGTTGTAGCCAATATTATTCGAAAATCACGAAGCCTATCCCCTTTCGACGACGATTAATGTAGGTGCATGAAATGTCCGAACAATGTAGGAGACTTGGAGGACAAGTTAAACAGCTGCGGAAATGAGGAAATACAATTCGGCGGTCTTTAAATTAATTGAAACCAATTGAACCCAAGCTGGACAGCAAAGACTAGCTTCGGGAGAGATGCTGCTATTCTCACATCCGAGGAGTTGCACTGATGCGGTCTAAAGAAGCACGTGAAGCACTTGTAGGGTGGTAATCTCATGGATCAAAGATCATGGACAACGCCGAATATGAAGGTATCATGGGACGACAAGGACTGGGAGGAAGAAATGGGAATGGTGACAGATTTGCAGACCCACGTGCATTCAACAAAATGGTTATGAGCGTCACAATATTCCCACACAAACGCATACACAAAGCTATGTGGATCTCACCGGACCACACTAAAGAGAACCTCATCGATCATATCTGTATCACAAAACATTCAGAATGTCAATCAAAGACGTGAGAACCAGGAGAGGAGTTGACATAACTTCATATCACTACCAACTGGTGGTTGCCAAGATGAAAATGAAGCCAAAGAAACACTGGAAAACAGGAGAAACAGCACTAAAAAAGTTCAATTCAGACTTGCTTCGACATACTGACAAACTCAACGAATTCAAGATAGCTCTCAACAAAAAGTTCCAAGCCTCACAAGATCTACTCAAAGATGAAACTACTATGGAGGACAACTTGATGTGGATTAATGCGACACTAACCCCAACGTGTCAAAACGTGCTGGGCCGCAAGAAGCAACGTTATAAGGGATAGATCTCCATGGGAACCCTGGACAAGATTCAAGAAAGGAAGAACAAGAAGATAGCAATTAACAACAGCCGAGCAAGAGCAGAGAAATTCAAGGCATACTCTAACTACACAGAAGCAAAGAAAAGAGTGAAGAGGAGCATCAGAGCTGACAAGCGTTAATGCGTTTAAGACCTAGAAACGCCAGCAGAAAAAGCTACGAGAGAAGGAAATATGAAACAACCATATAATGCAACGAAGAAGCTTTCATGGGAATATTGTAAACCATAGCGCCTCGTCAAAAGCAAACAAGGCAAACCAACACTAAGATTCACGAACAGCTTGACAGGTGATTAGAAAATCTCGTAGAACTCTTGGGCAGATCAGCCCCACTGAACCCATCGGACATCGAAGCAGCACACACGGATCTCCCTAGAGATGTCATCCCAACAACGATCGAAGTAATGAGGATGACCATCAGACAAATCAAGAGTAGGGAAGCAGCAGGACTTGACACATACCAGCTGAAGTACTGAAGTCAGACGTAGAAGCAACTGTAAAGATGCTCCACGTTCTATTCAGAAAGATTTGGGACTAAGAGCAAGTGTCGACAGACCGGAAAGAAGGATACCGCATCACACAGTCCAAATTGTGAGACTACGGATCATTTTTGATCATCAATTGGATGGAAATCATCACTATACATCATTTTCCCTGACTATGAGGAAGTGGTTGAAGCGCCGATAGGGGGACGTTATACAACCCTCTTCGACACTGTGGTGTACTTTATAAGATCTTCACCACCATATGGAATTCTTACGACGGCTACACTACAAAGTGGTGCATGAAGGACAACTCACAGATTCATTGTAAGTGAAGATCGGTATTAGACAAGGTTGCTTGCTTGCTCTCGCCTTTTCTCTTTCATCTGGTGGTTGACTGGATTAAGAGGACTTCCACATTTGAGAGAAAGCATAGAAACTTCGGACGCAACTAAACAATCTAGACTTTGTGGATCACTTAAATCTTCTAGCCCGTACACAGAAACGAATGCAGGTGAAGGCGAACAGTGTAGTAGGAGCCTCTGGGGCAATAGGCCTCAACATCCACAAGGCAAGAAGATCCTGAAATAGAACACAACGAGCACCAGCCAAACCACAATTGGTGGAGATGCTCTGGAAGATGTGGAAACTTTTAACATACCTGGGAGCGTTATTGATAAACAAGGGGTATCTGATGCAGATATGAAAGCATGGATTGGCAAAGCAAGCGGAGCATTCCTACGACTGAAGAACACATGGAACTCGAAACAACTGTCAACCAATATCAAACTCAGAATCTTCAGTACGAACGTCAAGACAGTTAGTTATATTGTACGGAGCTGAAACTCAGAGAACTACCACAACCATCATCAAAATGGTACACTTATTTATAAACAATTGTCTACGTAAAATACTCAATGTATGTTGGCCGAATACCATCAGCAACAACCTACTGTGACAGAGGACAAACCAGCTTCCAACTGATGAGGAAATTAGGAAAACACGTTGGAGGTGGATTGAGCATAAATTGTGGAAATCATCAAGCTGTATCATGAGGCAAGTACTAACTTGGAATCCTGAAGGAAGTCGGGAAAAACGAAGACCAAGGGACACATTGCGCCAGGAAGTGTAGGGAGACATCTAGAAAATGAGTAGTAATCGGAAACAATTTATTTATTTATTGTCACATACCTTGAATGCAAAACGTTTGAAGTACAATTCGAAAATTCATAAAGTAGTTGGTAATTATGTTTATTAGTTTAAGTCATAATATCTTCTGAATTCTCTGAAAGTTCACACTATAATCTGGATCAAATGAAGTTTGGTGAAAAATGTTGACTGAAATATTGCGATGCGGCGGTTAAATGACAGCATGTCTTTTATATATGTAAGTAGCAAGCACGTTTACTACTTATCTACCTTATAATGCAATTAAAAAGTTAATCATTGCTGCCGCACTTTTCAATGTATCTTTCATTAATAGTCATTTGTTATGTAAATAATCTTGCGAATAAATTTTTTTTATTAAATTATTTGTTTGTATCAATGCTTAGCAATTTCGTTATAGTTAAATCTTCAAAGTTTTCTCTGGTTTCAATTTTCCTCTCCAGCATGAATTAGCAAGTTTATGTGCGAAATGTGAGCAATATATTGGTATGCAAGGTGGTGGAATGGATCAAGCTGCAAGTGTTCTAGCAGTTGAAAATAATGTAAGATCATTATTTTTTTGCCTATTTATTGGATAATATCAAAACAAATCAAAATAAAACTTTTTTTATTCCTTAGTGCCTTGCTTACTTATTCTTTTTTTCTTATATTATTTCCTTGTAGGCTTTAATGATTGAGTTCACCAAACCATTTGTCACAGTCAGTCCTATTCAATTACCATCTGATATGGTTTTTGTGATAGCTCATTCGGGTGTACACGCTCGCAAAGCTGCTACATCATATTATAACGAACGTGTGGCAGAATGTCGATTAGCTGCTAAAGTAAGCTTACAGTTGCGATGTTTAATAATCTGATACTTGAAAAAAGTCTTTTCTTGGCTTATATGAATGAAGCTTTAAATATTTTTAGGTTACAATGTTCTTCTATCCAAATCCCAACAATTACTGCACACAAACTATGGTGAACATTAAATTTGATTCGTGCTATGGTTTAGTAATTAGTGCACTTAGTTTTTAATCGTTTGTTTGCATGCTAGAATCCCATCATATGTTTGATCTGTATGATTAAGTGGTATTAAGAGCCTTCACCTGATGCGTATGGCTCGAAGGCACACACATAACTTTGTACTTCGTCGTTCAGGTATATTGTGTTAGGTGAGTTAATCATATTTTATATATCATGGCATCAGTCCATGATGCCATTGACTGTGGGATTGAGGTGTATTGGCAAATGCACACTACGTGGTCGGAGTCCACATAAGATGACATTTTGTCGATGTGTTCGTTCTTTATTTCGCTTCAAGTATTATCTAGTTTTTCATTTTACTAATCTACTAATCTATTAATGTTTGGTCTTTCTCACTTTCACTGATGGTGGAGTGAACAGGACACGGGTTGGGACAATCGAATGTATTTGGAACAAAATTACAGGACTTGTTAATAAAATCTAACAATCATAAAGTAAATGCTCAATTTGCAAAATGTCCATCAATTGTCTCAAAATGACTCAGACTTCATTGTTCTTGGATTTTCATAATAATTGCATCCTGTTTCCATTCTTTACTGTTCGATCCTCTTGTCTCTCTGCTGGCAAACCTTTCCACGACTAGCATTATATACTACTTATGTCAATATAAGTAGCACACATCATAATGGTACTGTAAAATAGACCCTACTAATATTCATCTTATCGACTTCATCTCATCTTGATGTGGTAGGGCACTTTGTGGCGACACTTATGTGCATCAAGATCTATGTTAATTGTAACTAACTGACATAGTTCGCGTACTTATCTCTAGTCATATAGATTAATGGTTGACTAAAGTTCTTTTAGGGATGTAGTTAATTCCACGAGATTGCTAAAAAAGTAATATCGTCTTATATATTTTGAAAAATAATTTCATATCACCTAGTAATTAAATTACAAACATCGAAATATAATTTCAACCTTACTCGAGTCATCTATGAATAACATAGAAAGTCAGCCATCTAACGGCATGTATGACTGGCAAACAATCCTGTCAGCTGTCAGATAAAACACTCATGATAGATAAGGATACCTAAAATGTAAGACGAATTCAAAATTACCTCAATAATAACCCGGGAATAGGTCAGTCAGTCAGTCAGTCAGCTACAACGTAGGACCAGGCACATGTATGCATCGGCCCAGGTTGCCATACCTCATTAGCACAGCAAGATGAACACTGGATTCATAGGAGTGGTTAGGTCAAAGGTGGTAATATATAGGAGAAAGATTGCAATAAGGATATAGTATAGGAAGAAAGAATTAGTTCGTAGAAAGAAAGATGTGAAGTGATCGTAATCTCTTAGTTTAAGAGAAGACAGAGAGTGTATACACCGACGCCATTGTGATCGATTCTGAGCCATGTCACCAAGGGTCTCCAACCATTGGTTACGAAAGTCACGCGGACCCCAACCAAGTAGTCTGCATCTACCAACATGGCTCAGACTAGAAGTTAGTGACTTCAGGCACTGATGCCACGTTTTGGTTTGGCCGCCCCTAACTTTCTTCCAACCATCCCCTACACCGGTTAGCATTGCACGTCGCGGTAATCGGTGTTCAGGTAGGTGTTTACATTCATTAAACTCCCTCACCTCTACTATAATATTCAACGTGGAACTATCAATATATACTCGTAAATTTGTTATTTTTATGCTAGAGGTCAACTCTTATAATCAATCCTATACCATAAGATTTATATTTCAGACAAACAGATATATAGATAATATACTGGTAATGGTCTTGGTTGCATTTTCTTGGTACTTCGGAGTTAATTAATTATTATTATTTTCTGAGATTAGGTATTGTTTTTATCTTTTAAAATGTACAAGGATACATTTATAAATGCGAAGGAATTGTCTGTTAATTTTAATACCATGTGTTCGTAACATAATCTATCTTTATCGTTCGTCAGAATTAATTTATGGTTGACTTTGTACACAATGACTATATATATATATATAAAGTTTATGTGTTTTCTCCGCATTTAACAACAGATAACTTCTGTTCTCATTTTCAGGACATACATCTGGTCATTTTAGTAGTGCACTAACACTACTACTAATAGTGGCAGTGGTTGTAGTAGTAGAATTAGTAGTAGCACTAATAACTGCATGGGATAACTGGCACACATCTATTTTCTTCTTTACTTTTCTTGTAAAACCCCGAAAAAAATGATAAATGGCACCGTTTCTTGATTTACGTAGTCTGAAATTGTAAAAACAACACATGTAGATTATATTGTGCATTTCATAAAATCTAAGCTACCTTAATGGCTTTTACGTAAGAAACAAACTCTTAGTAGAAAAACAGAAGGATTCCTTGTAGTTTCTTCTTTAATGTTCCTTTTAGACCTAATCAGTACTAGGAATCGTCTTATTTATAATTTCAGTTTGTTTTTCTTTACCGGTAATATTTGTATGTATATGTGTACATAGTTGTAAAGTGCATTGGTTTATTAGAAATGTTAATCAACCCTGAAATTCGGTTTACTCACTTATCTATAGTGCAGTTAGTTTCACGGCGCCTGTGACACTAGTCCATATGCACAAAATATCATTCATCTATTTCCGTACATTAAGTATCTTGTGTCAAACGGTTCAGGTTATAAGTAGAGGAAAAGCAGGTGACGTTCTTTAATTCAGCGCTATCAAGTATTGAATATTTTTCGAGGAGCAATCATAAATCTAAATTATTAAAAGAGCAAAAACTTTCGTACCTGTATTACACAGAATAATAAACTCATTATTATCACTATTACTCTAAATAGTATATTGTAAGTTCGTTTTTGTATTAGTTGTTTGAATCTTCCCATTGATGTTTAGGACTCCGATTGATCAGTCTCTTAATGTGTTCATTTTGTGCGGATTTCGTCGATATCACTTTAAGTCACAAGCATTATAAGCAGAGATACATGGTGGTCTTCAATCTTATTTATTTTAACACCAGGTTATATGACTTCGCAAATCGTTATTTAAAGATTAATAAAGATATGTTTTAGGCTGATTCTTTTAATTATTCGAATTATGCCATGAGGATTAAAAACAGTTGTCCTCATTATCCTTAAGTTTTATTTTTAAAAAAACTGTTCTGTTTTCTAGATATTAGTTCAAAATAGCCCGTATATAACTGAACCTTCTAATTATTCATCCATTACACCCTTATGTCTCAGTGATGCACAAAAGTTATGGAAAGCAGTTTCGCCTGATGAAATGACACGCATTCAAAATGATGGATTATCAATTGTAACTAGATATCTACCAAGTGGTATTACTAGTCGAGAAAAGCTCTGTAATTTAGGCTTGACTAGTCCAATTATTGAAGGGTGCTTAACAGAAAATACTAAAACAAGTATGTTTCATGTACAATAGGTTATAATTTTTCAAATGTCATATAGTTTTTCTTTTTCGATAAACTAAAATGCATTTTAATTTTCAATCTTTTTAGTGTCAGATAATCATTAGTAGGTGTACGGTTTAACGTTTTTTCAGTAAATCAAAACTAATGGTACAGTGGTAAAACCTGCGGTTGATTTGTTTGTGATTGGTGCTATCATTTGAAACAACAATCGCAAGAATTGATAAGCAAGTTACATCGTTTTATGAAGAGTTGTGAAAATTTTCGCGGTGGTCATCATCACAAATAGATTTTTAAATACTTTCTTTAGTGTCATAGCACTCACTTCGAAATGTGGAGGTCCTGGGTTTGATCTCATGTGGAGTCGTCGGTCTACATTGTCAAGCAGTCTCAATCTAAAACAAAGAAACTATATCAACGACTCTAGCAATTTTCAACCTCACTTTTTATGCTTCGGTTTAGCAAACTAGGTGTTACTCTAAGGAGAGTATGCAAACGTTTACTTAGTTACTAAGTTCTACTTAATTGTATCATGATATCCTAGTACATTTTTTTCTTGGTGTTATATTGAAAAAAAAAACTCCGCCTGTAGCTCTTCTAGAGTTACTGCCGGTTCCAAGCCCGGATAAAGGAGGAGGGTTGGGCATGGGGTTAGCGACCCCATCCCGTAGAAAACTAACTCGTTAAAAAAACGCTAACCAGAAAAAATAGTTCAAACCATTTAAACTCTGCCTTGGGAGTTAGAAGGTCTTCATTTAGAAGAATTATGACGCTTCATGATGAAAGCCGAGTTCCTTCGGAAGTTACGAGGCCGATGCCCCTTCTGACAAGCAGAGCGACCATTTATTTAGGTACATGGAATGTTTGCACAATGTGGGAGACCGGGAAGACCAGTCAAATAGCAACGGAAATGAAATACAAATTGGCAGTACTGGAAATCAGCGAAACCCATTGGACCCAAGCTGGACAACAAAGGCTAAATACGGGAGAGATGCTACTATACTCCGGTCACGAAGAGGAAAATGCTCCACACACTCAGGGAGTTGCTCTAATGCTGTCCAAAGTAGCACAAAATGCACTTGTAGTATGGGAATCTCATGGATCCAGAATCATCAAAGCATCATTCAAAACAAAGAAGGAGGGAATCACAATGAATATTATCCAATGTTATGCACCCACCAATGATAGCAACGACGACATTAAAGATCAATTCTACGAGTGGCTGCAGTCAGTCATAGAGAAATGCCCAAAAAAGGACCTAACCATTCTAATGGGAGATCTAAATGCCAAAGTCGGAATAGACAACACCGGATTTGAAGATATCATGGGACGACATGGACTGGGTGAGAGAAACGAAAATGGAGAAAGATTTGCAACTCTGTGTGCACTCAACAAATTAGTCATAGGAGGCACAATATTTCCACACAAGCGTATACACAAGGCTACATGGATCTCACCGGAGCACACTACAGAGAACCAAATAGATCATATTTGCATCAATAATAAATTCCGAAGGACAATGGAAGATGTGAGAACCAGGAGAGGAGCTGACGTAGCTTCAGATCACCACCTAGTTGTGGCCAATTTAAAACTGAAGCTAAAGAAAAACTGGACAACTGGACAAACAGCAATACACTGGTTCAATACAGCCTTCCTTCGAGATACTAATAAAATCAACGAATTCAAGATAGCTCTTAACAACAGGTTCCAAGCCTTACAGGATTTACTGAAGGAAGAAGAAACTACTATGGAGGACAACTGGAAAAGTATCGAAGAAGCATTAACTTCAACGTGTCAAGAGGTTCTGGGCCTCAAGAAGCATCATCATAAGGAATGGATCTCTATAGAAACACTGGACAAGATCAAAGAAAGGAAGAACAAGAAGACAGCAATTAACAACAGCCGAACACGAACAGAGAAAGTCCAAGCACAAGCTGAATACATAGAAGCAATCAAGCAAGTGAAAAAGAGCATTAGAGCCGACAAGAAGAAGTACGTGGAAGAACTAGCAACGAAGGCGGAAAAAGCTGCAAGAGAAGGAAATATGAAACAGCTTTATGATACAACGAAGAAACTAGCAGGGAAATACAGTAAACCATAGAGACCGGTCAACGACAAAGAAGGCAAACCAATCACTGAAATTCAACAACAGCGGAACAGATGGGTAGAGTAGTTCGAGGAACTCCTGAATAGGCCGGCTCCAATGAATCCAGTGGACATCGAAGCAGCACACACAGATCTTCCTATAGATGTCAATCCACCAACGACGGAAGAAATCAGAATGGCCATCAGACAAATCAAGAGCAGGAAAGCAGCAGGACCCGACAATATACCAGCTGAAGCACTGAAGTCAGACATCGAAGCAACTACAAGCATGCTTTACCTTCTATTCAAAAGAATTCGGGAGGAACAAGTGCCGATGGGCTGGAAAGAAGGACACCTCATCAAGAATCCAAAGGAAGGAGACCTGAGCAAATGTGAAAACTACAGAGGCATCACACTACTGTCAATACCAGGGAAAGTCTTTAACAGAGTGTTGCTGAACCCGATGAAAGACACAGTAGACGCTCAACTTCGAGATCAACAAGCTGGATTCCGTAAAGATCGGTCGTGCACAGACCAAATTGCGATACTACGGATCATCGTTGGACAATCAGTTGAGTGAAACTCGTCACTATACATCAACTTCATTGATTACGAAAAGGCGTTTGACAGTGTAGACAGGAGGACGTCATGGAAACTTCTTCGACACTACGGAGTTCCTGAGAAGATTGTCAACATTATCCGGAACTCATACGACGGACTACAGTGCAAGGTAGTGCATGGAGGACAGCTGACAGACGCATTCCAAGTAAGGACCGGAGTCAGACAAGGCTGTCTACTCTCTCCCTTCCTCTTTCTTCTGGTGGTCGACTGGATTATGAAGACCTCGACATCTGAGGGAAAACACGGCATACAATGGACAGCTCAGAATCAGTTAGACGATTTGGACTTCACAGATGACCTAACCCTCCTATCTCGTACACACGAATAAATGCAGATAAAGACAGCCAGTGTAGCAGCAGTCTCTGCATCAGTAGGCCTCAACATACACAAAGGGAAAACCAAGGTCCTCAAATACAACACGGAGAACAGCAATCCAATCACTCTTGATGGCGAAACTCTGGAAGATGTAGAATCCTTCACATACCTGGGAAGCATCATCAATGAACAAGGAGAATCAGATGCAGACGTGAGTGTAAGGATTGGCAAGGCAAGGGCCACATTCATACAACTGAAGAACATATGAAACTCAAAACAACTTTCAACCAATATCAAAGTGAGAATCTTCAATGCGAATGTCAAGGCAGTTCTACTAAATGGAGCTGAAACTTGGAGAATTACAACAACCACCATCAAGAAGGTACAAGTATTTATAAATAGCTGTCTACGCAAGATACTCAAGATTCATTGGCCGGATACCACCAGCAACAGCCTTTTGTGGGAGAGAACAAACCAGCTTCCAGCTGAAGAGGAAATTAGGATAAGACGATGGAAATGGATAGGACATACATTACGCAAATCGTCAAACTGCATTACGAGGCAAGCCCTAACTTGGAATCCTGAAGGGAGGCGGAAAAGAGGGAGGCCAGAGATCACATTACGTCGGGAAATAGAAGCAGATATGGAAAGGATGAATAACAACTGGAAGGAGCTGGAAAGGATTGCCCAGGACAAGGTTGGATGGAGAATGCTGGTGAGGGCCTATGCTCCTTCACGAGGAGTAACAGGCGTAAGTAAAAGTAAGTAAGGTATATTGAAAAAGTTCTTCGAAATGAACAGTTTATTTTTTATCATACCTCACTCATTATTTTTATTTACATTTAAATTTAGTGAACCACTTCTATTTAAGAGATCGTGCAGAACATGTATACTCTGAGGCTGAACGGGTTTTTAAATTTTACAATATATGCAAAAAGATATTTAGTAATAATGATTCCCAAACGAATTCAACTAATTATATGCAGTTGTTAGGAGACTTAATGAATCAAAGTCAATTATCTTGTGCTAATCTTTATCAGTGTTCTTGTCGTGAATTGGATAAATTAATAAGCATTTGCAGGTTAGTGATTTGTCAAAATTAACTCTCAGTTCAATCATTTACAAAATAGTAGTCGTGATTTACTGATCAGTTTCAAGTTATGAGATTTTTGTTTGTTTGTGTGCAGTGGTTGTTTAGATAATTTATTGTGTGATTTAAACAGTTCAATTCAATAATGTAATTGAGTACCCAAACTAGGGTTTATGGATTCGACTGTGAGGTACATGTTTCACTGTGAGACAACTAAGTGTACTACTTGACTGTTATAATCAAAATAAATGGATATGAATTCAAAGCTCTAATTTTCATGGTTCATGTTAGACCATCTCTCACTTTGTAATACAAGTAAACTGAATAAATGATTCGAGAAAATGCTGATAGATACTTTAAGGTACAGGTGTCAGAACGTCCTGTATTAACATATTTTGGTCCTTTTGGTACTATCGTGTACTGAAACATTTGTAGCTGCAGTTCCTCTGAGCATATATGTAAGTTTTTTGTAAAAACCTAAAGTTTTGATTTATACCAATTTTTCAGTGATCTTCAGGTAATATTTATGTACCTTGGCTTTTTTCAATCCTGCACCCTTTATTCTTTTGTTCTGACTTCTTTTACATTCATGATCTTAGTTGTTCGATTCCTTTCATCACTTTTTATGTGTGTTTTCATCTAATTTGAATGTTTTCTTATGGCTTATGACGTATTTCCATTGCTCTTATTAACACAAATTCCCTGTCTTGCTATTATTATTATTATTATTATTATTATTATTATTATTATTATTATTATTATTATTATTATTGCTTATATACTTACCGCCTACTTACCACTTTATATTTGATGTCTAGCATGCATTTTACAGCCTTTTATTTTATTTTATTTGAACACATAGATATTGGTACAAGGAGACACCAGATACATATACGCCACACAAATCTCATTTGTTTTGTATGAGGGCTGTGATACCTGCCTGAGTGCTCAAACCGAAGCAAGTGATTTTTTTACGGGGCCGCACGCGAAGCCTTCGATCTAAAGGTCTGATCCACAAGGCAGGGAAACTACATCAGGAGATGCAGTTCCATGGTAGCCGGCGATCATCGACTGGTTCATACGCCATTTGTACCACAGGATACTGGAGCCCATGTGCAGCAATGGTTTGAAATCAGGGTCCCCCAGCCTCCCTAGGTGGACTCTCTGTGTCCACCAACCTGGTCAAAGCGCCGGACATTCGCTCTTCGTCCTGTCAATTTCGTAAACAACACCCCTCCACGAGAAGGTAGTGAGTAGGACTTCCCTGGCAGATGCTGTATACGCGTGGCCATGTGAGAGCATTTCGAGAGGGAGAGCGAAATCTCCCCACTCTCAGCCGTACCAGGGCATTTGGGGGAACAAATGTAGAATTTTACAGCTACATATATTCAATTCATAAGTGCATCAGACTGAAAGCCATTGTTGTTTGGTTAGTTGTTTACTGTTCTACCCCTCACCATGGATTTTGCTAGTTTCCTTTTCAGCCAAAATATTGCGTTAAGAGTTCACTTATTTATATTTTTGATAATTTGGATTATAGATAACAGTTTCCCCCCAATTTATTTTCATTCTTATCTGCGAAAAGTGGATTCATCTAACTTAGGTGTTAAAAGGAGTTAATTAGTATTTTTTTTTACCTGAAAAGGTTATTGTGTTCTTTTTATATTATTAAGTGTGAGCTGGAACTCTATGGCTTAGGTACCGAACTTCCAAACGTTCAGTCGTGAATTAGTGGCTTAGTCATATGTTAACCTTTGGTTAGTAAGTTTATATTGTCATGTTACTCATTGACAATTCATTTCCTGTGCATTTTCTTTGATATCTAGTTTCATGAATGTACTTACTTACTTACGCCTGTTACTCCCAATGGAGCATAGGCCGCCGACCAGCATTCTCCAACCCACTCTGTCCTGGGCCTTCTTTTCTAGTTCCATCCAATTCTTGTTCATTTTTCTCATGTCTATTTCCATTTCTCGGCGTAATGTGTTCTTTGGTCTTCCTCTTTTCCTTTGGCCTTCAGGATTCCATGTGAGGGCTTGTCTTGTGACGCAGTTGGGTGCTTTCCTCAATGTGTGTCCTATCCACTTCCAGCGCTTCTTCCTGATTTCTTCCTCCGCTGGGATCTGGTTTGTTCTCTCCCACAGTACGTTGTTGCTAATAGTGTCCGGCCAACGGATCTGAAGTATTTTGCGTAGACAACTGTTAATAAACACCTGTATTTTCTGGATGATGGCTTTCGTAGTTCTCCAGGTTTCTGCCCCATACAGTAGAACTGTCTTGACATTTGTATTGAAAATCCTGACCTTGGTGTTGGTTGACAGTTGCTTTGAGTTCCAGATGTTCCTCAGTTGTAAATATGCTGCTCTTGCTTTGCCGATCCGCGCCTTCACATCTGCATCAGATCCACCCTGTTCATCAATGATGCTGCCCAAATACGTAAAGGTTTTTACATCTTCCAAATCTTCTCCGTCAATTGTGATTGGATTGGTGCATTCTGTGTTGTATCGGAGAATCCTGCTTTTCCCTTTGTGTATATTGAGACCTACTGCTGCTGAGGCTGCTGCCACACTGTTCGTCTTCTCCTGCATCTGTTGTTGCGTTTGGGATAGAAGGGCCAGATCATCTGCGAAGTCTAGATCGTCCAACTGCATCCTAGATGTCCATTGTATCCCGTGCTTCCCTTCAGACGTTGACGTCTTCATGATCCAGTCGATCACCAGGAGAAAGAGAAAGGGTGAGAGTAAGCAACCTTGCCTAACACCGGTCTTCACTTCGAACGACTTTGTCAACTGTCCTCCATGCACGATTTTGCAGTGTAATCCATCATATGAATTCTGTATGATATTGACTATCTTCTGAGGCACGCCGTAGTGTCGAAGAAGTTTCCATAGTGTTGTTCTGTCCACGCTATCAAATGCCTTTTCGTAGTCAATGAAGTTGATGTAGAGTGATGAATTCCATTCAATTGATTGTTCCACAATGATCCGTAGAGTTGCGATTTGGTCTGTACACGATCTATCCTTACGGAATCCTGCCTGTTGGTCACGAAGTTGGGCGTCTACGCAGTCCTTCATCCTGTTTAACAATACCCTGTTGAAGACTTTTCCCGGTATTGAGAGAAGAGTGATGCCCCTGTAGTTATCACACTTGCTGAGATCGCCTTTCTTCGGTATTTTGATCAGAAGTCCTTCTTTCCAGTCTGTTGGTACTTGTTCCTCATCCCAAATCTTATTGAAGAGAATGTGGAGTATCCTTGCAGTTGCCGCTACGTCTGCTTTTAGTGCCTCTGCTGGAATGTTGTCCGGTCCTGCTGCTTTGCCACTCTTGATTTGTCTGATGGCCATGCTGATTTCTTCAATTGTTGGTGGGCCAACATTGATTGGGAGGTCCGTGGGTGCTGCTTCGATGTTGGGTGGGTTCAGTGGAGCTGGTCGATTCAAGAGTTCTTTGAAGTGTTCTACCCACCTGTTTTGTTGCTCTTCAATGTTGGTGATTACCTCGCCTTCCTTGCTTTTCACTGGTCGTTCTGGTTTGCGGCGATTTCCAGAGAGTTTCTTTGTCGTGTCATACAATTGTCTCATGTTTCCTTCTCTTGCAGCCTTTTCCGCCGTCGTTGCTAAATCTTCCACATATTTACGTTTGTCGGTTCTGATGCTCCTCTTCACTTGTTTGTTTACTTCTGTGTATTCAGCTTGTGCCTTGGCTTTTTCTGCTCTTGTTCGACTGGTATTGATTGCTGCCTTCTTGTTCCTCCTTTCTTGAATCTTATCCAGTGTATCAACAGTGATCCATTCCTTGTGATGGTGCTTCTTGTGACCCAGGACCTCATGACATGTTGAAGTGATTGCCTCTTTGATCCCCTTCCAGTTGCTCTCCACAGTAGTTCCTTCTCCATTGAGTAGATCATGAAAGGCCTGGAACTTGTTGCTGAGGACTATCTTGAATTTGTTGAGTTTGTTAGTATCCTGAAGAAAGGCCGTATTGAACTTTTGTGATATTGTCCGCCCCGTTGTCCAGTGCTTCTTGAGTTTCAATTTCATCTTGGCGACCAGCAAGTGATGATCTGATGCTATATCAGCTCCTCTCTTGGTTCTCACGTCCTCTATAGTCCTCCTGAACGTTTTGTTGATGCAAATATGGTCGATTTGGTTTTGGTTGTGTGATCCGGTGAAGTCCATGTGGTTTTGTGTATGCGTTTATGTGGGAATATGGTGCCGCCTATGACCAGCTTATTGAAGGCACATAGATTTGCAAATCTCTCACCATTTTCGTTCTTTCTCCCAGTCCGTGTCGTCCCATGATGTCTTCATATCCAGTGTTGTCCGTTCCAACCTTGGCGTTGAAATCTCCCATCAGAATAGTCAGGTCCTTTGTTGGGCACTTCTCGACGATTGACTGCAGCCTATTGTAGAATTGATCTTTAGCGTCTTCATTGTAGTCGTTGGTAGGCGCATAGCATTGGATGATGTTCATTGAAATGCCCTCTTTCTTTGTTTTGAACGAGGCTTTGATGATCCTTGGTCCATGAGATTCCCATCCTATAAGTGCATTTTGCGCTTGTTTGGACAGCATCAATGCAACTCCTTGTGTATGTGGTGCATTTTCTTCACTATGGCCGGAGTATAACAGGAGCTCTCCTGTAGTTAGTCGTTGTTGTCCAACTTGTGTCCAATGTGTTTCACTGATCCCAAGTACCTCTAGGTTGTATCTTCTCATTTCTGCAGCAATTTGGAAGGCTCTCCCGGTGTCCCACATTGTACGAACATTCCATGTACCTAAATAAATTGTTGCTCTGGTTGTCAGAAGGGGCATCGGCCTCGTAACTTCCGAAGGAATTCGGCTTTCATCATGAGGCGTCATAATTCTTCTAAATGAAGACCTTCTGACTCCCAGGGCAGAGTTTAAAAGGTTTGAATAATTTTTTCTGGTTAGCGTTTTTTTAGCGAGTTAGTTTTCTACGGGATGGGGACGCTAACCCCATGCCCAACCCTCCTCCTTTATCCGGGCTTGGGACCGGCAGTAGCCCCCGGAGGGACTCCAGGCGGAGTTATTCATGAATGTAGTTTTCCTTATTTTTCCCATACTAATCCTTTAACCTTTATTCATCTTAATTTAGTACTTTTCATTCGATGCATTCCACTTGTAAATTCGAAGTAAAGTAGTTGACCTGATTAGTAAGCTGTATAAAATAATAGAATTTCTCTTCCTATTCACTTTCAGTTTATTCGAAATCAGAATCTCGCTCAACCAGTTTAGATATGTACAAGTTCAAACTCACTTCATTTTCATGAACCTTAGAAGTTGGATAGTATTGTTTTTGAAGTTTCACGAGAGGTATAATCTATAAAGAGTCAGTTAGAGTATATCTGCTGAATTTGAAAATTTCAAATCCATGCGCAGTTGAAATTTTCACTGTTATTATTTTGTTATTAATTACTAATCTTTAAGTGGGTACTTTCAATACAGCTTTTAATTGAAGTGTAAGTCATAGGTTAATCAAACTTTCTGTTGATGTTATCTGTGAAGTAGGATTTGTATAGTACGCGTTTAAGTAGACTATTCAACCACTAGCCACTATATTAAGATGAGTATTCATTTATTTTTATAAGCTGATGATTTGTCTTCAATAAACTTATTTTACAGATCAGCTGGTGCTTTCGGTAGTCGTCTAACTGGAGCAGGTTGGGGTGGTTGCACCGTATCATTAGTGAAAAAATCTAATGCGGAACAATTTATTGCAAAAGTACGCGAAGAATTCTATAACGTGATTGGTGCTGGCAGTAACAACGACTTGATATTCGTTAGTCAACCAGGTCGTCCAGCTGGAATAATGGTTATTCAATGAATGAAGTGATTCCTTTTGATCACGCTTTATTATTAAAACAAACTTTTCATGTACTTTTGTGATTGATTTATTTTGTTAATTATATTTGCTGTGATTCGGAATTTTCTTTAAAAATTATTTGATTTGTGTCCACTTAGATTATACAATAAAATGTTTGTTCTTTTATCTGAGAAGAGATTATCCAACTTACTCTGGTTGGGTGTATATGTAAGTTCATGAATCACTGTTTGGTCTGTTCAGTGCGAGAAGCATTTCCCTATTGAGCTAATTTCCATAAACCGATCAATCAAAATATCGTTTAATCTATATGGTCAGAGTGCTAAAAATTGATAGTTGGACTATTCGTGCAATACACACTGTTTATCACATTAAAGCACATTTATTGACTGAATCGAAGGTATCATTCAGAAGTGATTCTTCTTTTTCTTCCCTGAATTTTTTTAATGCAATAAGATTATTTTCACTTGTTCTTGAAGCCTGTTTGTATTTTACTGTTGTTATGTAAGATTTGTATAGGATAATTTCTCTACATGACTCGAAAATCGTATGTCGCATTAACAGTGTATTTTAGTAGACAAGCGTTCAATCAGACTCATAAATTTTTAAGTCACAGTAAGTAGGTAATAAAAAATATAACAGCCGTACTATAGATTTAACACCGTGTACTGAATCAATAGTTCAGGTAGAACATTCTAAATGTTTTAAGTATTTTTCTGCAATAATATGTGCCAGTGGACGTTCTATAGCCAGATGACATTGTCATTAAAACTGAGTACACATAAGAGACAATCACACTTATATTGTATAATCATTAATACGATAATTCTTGTCGATCTCGAGAATTATTTTATCAGTAATCGTTATTGAATAATACCAGGAAAGAATATGTTGTTATGTGGACGTAATTCTTTATTTTTTAAAATCAAATTTCCAGTCTAGTTGGAATCGACATTAGTATTTATTTATAATAATACTAATGATCATATCCATGTCTAAATTAATGCTCCAGGCATATAATCAGAATAAGGGCAAATAATTCTAACACCAGGTACACTGAACAATGCGACAAAAGTATTTTAACTTACAAAAATTGTTACTCATATCCATTGGTTGAATTAAAACTGTTGTAAAAATTAAGTAGCGAATAGTAATCATGGACTTATTCTCTAATTAGTCCCTATGATATTCTGAATTCATCTTTGATTCCGTCTCTAAATACAAATAATTTTTGTATAATAAATGTAGGAAAGTTCTTATTCACTTTACAGACCTAATCTAATCTAGAATGTGAAGGTAAATTTTTGTCGGAGGATTTATTTTATTCAACAAAGAAAACTGATTAAGTGTTGTTAATATGCTGCCCTAAACATAAGGTTCTTGCTAGTTGGCACTCACCAGCAAGGCATATCTTAATGGTATGCATTAATTATAACAACATAATATACTATTTACTCTTGTTTGGTAATGGTTCTGATCCCATAGACATCATTTTTACAATATGTTTAAACGTACTGCAGATAAGTAATTAATGCACCACAATTTCATCTCACAAACTGAAATCGTCGATTAAACCCGTTCACCTTTACCTCGGGTTAGATCGATCAGGGAATCTTTAGCTTGACTTATTCCGTAATAACTATTGGTAAGTGGTAATTTCAATCGTATAGAATTGTTACTATTCGTTTTAGCACTTCATAACTTACCTCAACCTATTCCATTCTTAATTGACATAATGTACACAGCAATAACTATTGCACTTTTGAACAGATATATTTTAGAATCAATTTGGTTTTCTAATCTTAGCTAAACAAATGACATGTTAGTAAATATTGGACAAGCCATTTAAACATTATGATTTTACTAGATTGGCAATTGCGAAAGCCTGCTAGCTAACTGAACAAACAATATTTTAGATATAATCTAAATGAGCACATGGATATACCAGTATTTCATTTTCATGATATTGTAAATAGTTGATTACTACTGTTGCATCACATAATTGACTAATTCATTAGTGTAAAGAAGGATTTATGTTTGGATAAAGATAAATTAGTATTTTGTATTTTAAAGTGTTAGATTTGTGTTAACACGAATATGTTAGGATTCAGAATGCCGTACAATGCGGAAAGCAGTTTGTAATTGAATCATAATCCAAAGGTAGAAAGCTGCTTATTGTTGCATTACATTTTGAGTTTTCTAGAGATAGTTGGAGTAAAACCGAGAGAAATTCAAAATTTCACTTTATTGCCAATGTAAATTCTAACATGACTCACACTTTTTGAATACAGTTGTAAATTTCCACTGCTTTCCAGATCTATGCTTCTCTTATTGAAATTTCAACAATTTATTCGAATTTCGTAAAAGGAGAAATCTTCAAGGATCAAATGAGTGTACTGTTTATAAAATTTCCAACAATAAAGATGGAGATCGGTCGAAGGTTTTTCATTAATCACGTACAACTAACAAGTGGACGGATATTATGAACAATGGATTTGTGTCCATCCAACTATGCTGCTTGTAGCCACGTAGTGAAGTAATCCGAAGGGCAAAATTGTTTTTCGTCTATCGATTTTTAAACTTAGCATGTGTGGAAATGATTCTATCTGATTATTTTGATAAATTTATAAGCTATTTTTTATAGCAATATCACTTGTTATGTCAGTATTCACATTTAACGCCTTCTTTGAGGTTAGCCTACAGTTTGTCTTTCGATTTTCGATGCGTACATTTAGACGAAAAGGTATTCCCTAACAAAGCTGCATACGAAAATGTAAGCACTATTTTATTATCATTGTATTTCTAATAAAGATCAAAGTTTTGGCTTGCAATTACCTTTTCTTTATTCGCTCTTCCTGAGATCCATGAAAGTTAGAATCACATATTTATCTTGGACAAACTTCATCTATTTACAAAGGATTGATGAGTTTACCCAACTGACATATCGGAGAACTCCCTTTTTGGGCTGTCCTCAATGGCCATATGAGATTGGACAAAGAAGTTTAAATATTTTTTCTAAGGAGACTGTTATTTAAATGTGGATATTTATGAACGAAGATCCTATTTTTGATTTACCATCTCCGAAGTATCCTAGGAAATTTTTCATTCAGTCGTTTCTATGCTAATGTACATTATTTTATGTAATATTTCTCTTACTACTTGAATCCACTAGGTAGTTTGTATAAATAACATTTTTTGTAGTAAAAATATCTAAGATAGCTTCAGCCCTAAGACTGGTTTATTCTTAATCGAAATGATGAGTTACTACTATTAGAAACTTTAAAATATTTAAATCTCAAAATTAACAAGATTCATCATCAAAACTATTGGCAGTTTCATCTAGACAATTTCGTCAGTTCATAGTTCCTCTAGTCAGTTACTTAGTAAAGTTGCGATGCAAACGCATCGGTAAAAATTTCGGTCTAAAAAAGTGCCTTCTCAGTTATATGTATAACGTATTCCATCTTGTTTTACAGGGTTCTTTTCGTGCATTTCATCAATTATACACGAAGTTGTAGATTTAGAAGAATTTTACATGAGTTCCCTAATATATCTTCTGATTTGTGAAGGCTAGTTATGATGTAAAGCAGACAAAAAGACAGTTGGATTACACATTATGATCATGACTTTGGTCTTTGACTAAAACCTCTCATTTGCAAAATTATCTTTAAAATAGATCTTTACAAATATAAGATATTAATGTCCTATCTTTTAATCCATTATACTGTTATAATGCTAACTTTTGAAGATAGTCGCATAAGGAAGCCTCAGCTATTCGTTTAACAGTACTCCCATACGATCTGTTGTATACGGATTGTAGACTAAAAATCTCTCCGTTTAACAAATTTACTTTGTGAAGATGAATTAATTGATGTAACCAGAGATGTGCTTCTTTCTATGCTTGTAGTAGTTCACTTATTATGATGAATGGTACTGAATGCAATGCCTGTAGATTGAACAGTATTTTACAGCGATTAGATGGATTCATTCATGATGGGAAATATAAAGTTTACAACATCCATCTGAAACATAAAACACCAAAGGGCCTTACGAGTTTCTTACGCGGCGGGGTAACGGGAGACAAAATCCATGAATTCCTACCCTTTTTATCTTTCCAAAAATTTATGTGAAATAAGTTTCGTTTTGCTTATCATCAAAACAATAGTACATACGATGTAATTAATCATATAGACCCATACAGTGATGATACTCAATATCATTTAAAATGAATTGGCGATACAGACATTGTTTACCTATCTAAATAGTTCATCTGACTCGTCCTTTTGCACGGTCTTACTCAACTAAACAGCAACATTTGAACGTATTTGTGCAGGCGAGTATTTCAAACAAAAGTTTTATCACCATTACCATTTAATTTCGAAGGATACATTGTTATATGATTAAAATCTTTAAATTTTAATAACTAACTTGGCGTAATTTTAATTATTGATGACATAAAGGTTTTAGGGATTTACAGACTTATTAATGAGTATTATTAAACTGTGAATGAAATACTGATAATCGTATTAGACTTAAATAAAGGAGATTGGAAGAAATGATACAGGGAAATAAATACTGAAATAAATAGTAACTGTTATTATCAACAATTATGTAGACACGGGACTAATTCTTTTTAGTTATTCGTAGTCAATTTTAGATTATACCGCTATGAATAAATTCGAATATCACTTAAATATCATCTGAGTCACTAGATGTAGAAATGAGATGGAAATAGAAGGCATTTAAAACTACCCATTGATCAACCGTTGCACAGATGAAATACGTATAATGCCAAAATTGTGTAGTAAATGATCTCAACGGTAAATACACTATACATGTGGACGAACCGAACGAATTTGGAAAGCTCACTACTAATAAAAACAAATTTATCGTGATCATAGTTATTAATTGATCTGAAAACAAATTAGCCTGATCAACAAGGGGAAATTACCACCTATATAAGAGAGTTATACGAGACATATCCTTTACCTACAGCATTCAAGCATGGAAACAATAAAACGATAAAATGAATGTCGGCATTTCAGTGAGGAACATATTCTTTATGATAATGACATTTTCCTCAACTGTACGGTCGTAATTACATATAATTTCACCGTTTGTACTCTATGGTGAAATATAACATTCACCTGTAAGTTTTTATTAATTTCATCACAAATTCAATATACGATTTCATTTCGTTACGATGTTGGACGAATCATGTAATATGTGTGCATAATTGTTCACCCATATTGCATTAACGTCACTAGTTTGAAGTTAGTAGTGAAATTAGATGTCAGTGACAGATAAATGAAAATATAAAAGTCATGTCGAACAGAGAATTGATACAGATGCATTTGTGTCAGATTTAGAATAACTCATATTCACTGTCGTCTGATATAGATCAACTGCTTAGGCTTAAATAGATTAATATGTCTAGGAAGCTTACTGATCACAAATGAAACGATACATAACCTAA